ACTGGAGGCCAGGGTTCGGATCCCGGGCGCGCACCGACACACCGCTTCTCCAGCCATGCTGAGGCGGCGTCCCATATACAGCAACTAGAAGGATGTGCAACTACGACATACAACTATCTACTGGGGCTTTGGGGAGAAAAAGGGGAAAAAAAAGGAGGAGGATTGGCAATAGATGTTAGCTCAGGGCCTGTCTTCCTCAGCAAAAAGAGGAGGATTGGCATAGATGTTAGCTCAGGACTGATCTTCTTCACAAAAAAAAAATATATATATATATATGGTAGTTATTAGTTTGCTTAACAACAACAAAAAGGTAATTACTCTTTATCCATTACAAGAGAGTTTACTTCAAATCTTAAATTGACAATTTTATGTTCTTTTCCTTTGTGTTTTGTTTTTTATAAGGAATGATGCTGAACACTACTATTACAGGTTGGATCTCTGGAAGAAAATGTTGAAATGGAGTTTGGAGAGCAAGATATTTATTAGGGACCAACATACATAAAGGGACATGAAGCAGAATTGGGCAGAGGCAGAAGTTAAACTGTGATGCCAGCACTTTTATCCCTACCTTGCTCAGTCACTGGGTATGGGCTATCTTGGGAAGGATGTGACCTGAGGGGAAGCAGCTCTCTGAGGCTGAGGCATATCCTGAAGGACTTACAGCTGGAGGCTGTCTGCTACCATATGCCCTACAGCTAGGCAGCCAGGCCTTCCCTGAAGGAGGTTCTAGTGGCACAACTCCATGTCTACCACAAATATCACATGGTTTTTAGCATTTATAGAGATGATCATAGGATTTTCACCCTTTACCTTGTTAGTGTTCTGATCACATTATGGGATTCACTGATTTTATTTTATTTATTTATTTATTTTTTTTTCTTTGTGAGGAAGATCAGCCCTGAGCTAACACTCATGTCAATCCTCCTCTCTTTGCTGAGGAAGACTGGCCCCTGGGCTAACATCCCTGCCGATCTTCCTCCACTTTATGTGGGACGCTGCCACAGCATGGCCTAACAAGCGGTGCCTCGGTGAGCACCCAGGATCCGAACCTGGGCCACCAGCAGCGGAGCGCATGCACTTAACCGCTACGCCATGGGCCCCCAGGATTCGCTGATTTTAAACCATGCTTGGTCACGACACCTTATCCATTTAAAACTTGCTGGAATTGACTTGCTAATGTTTTACTTTTAATATTTTTGTATTCATGCATGGAGTGATAGTAGCCTCTGGTTTCCTTTTTGTATATGAAGACACTATCCTTGTCTGATTTTGGCATCCGAGTTATGCTAACCTTTAAAATGTAGAAATGAGTAACAGTGAGAGCAACCACATACAGAAACCTGTTGGATATGGCCCACGTACCTCTTATGTAAATCTTCTGGAATTTTTGCACCAGATTCTTATTTTTACCTTAACATCAGTGATCATTAAGATAATTATAAGTTTCACAAGTTTCTTTGCTTACCATGTTTTCTTTCTTTCTTTCTTTCTTTTTTTTTTTTTTGCTGAGGAAGATTAGCCTTGGGCTAACATCTGTGCCCATCTTCCTCTACTTTATATGTGGGATGCCTGCCACAGCATGGATAGATAAGCGGTGCGTAAGTCTGCATCCGGGGTCCAAACCTGCAAACCCCAGGCTGCCGAAGTGGGAGTACATGAATTTAACCACTACGCCACCGGGCTGGCCCCATGTTTTCTTCCCTGGATTTATATATTCTTGAATAATTCTTTCAGCGAAGGCCTGTGGGTAGAAAACTTTCCAAGTTTTTCTTTTCTTGCTTGAAAGTGTGCTTGTTGCTGCCACGTGAATGCTAGTTTGACTGGGTATAAGATTCTAGGTTCAAAATTATTTTACCTCAGAAGCTGGAAGTTATTTTCTGTTGTCTTGCAGTCAGCATAATGAATGGGAAATCTGCTATGTTTTGATTCTTATTCCTTGCTTGATAGCCTATTTTTTCTGCTCTGAAGGCTTTTAAGTTTCTCTTCTTATCTGTTTTGCCACAGTGCATATAGATGTCTTTTTTATTCATCCTGCTCAGTACTCACTGGCCCTTTCAGTTGAAAGATTTGAGTTTCCTATCTGAGATATTTTCTTCTTTATTTCTTTGATTATATCCTTCTCTCCTTACTCTCCTTTCCTACTAGAACTCTTATTAGAGAAGGGTTGGAACTTCTGAATCTCCCTTCTGTGCCACAATTTTTCTCGTTTAATTTTCTTTTTTTTTAATACTACCTTTTTAAGAGAATTTATCAGGTTGATCAGTCAGCTTTATAATTTGCTTTCCAGGAGTGTCCATGCTTTAATTCAGCTTACCAGTGGAGTATTTTTAGAATTCAAGATTTCTTGTGGTTCCTTTTTCCTGGATGCCATTTAGTTTCAGGTGTATTGAGTTCAAGATTCCTGTGGGCAGTTAGAGAAGAAGGATTGGAGCCCATAAGAAGTACAGAAATTGGGGAAATTTCAGGGCAGACTTGAAATTTGAGGCCAGGAAGAAAGAGAGAAGAAGAAAGGACCAAAGAAGGGACATTGGGAAGATTAGTTCCTCTCATTCATGTTTGATTCCCAAGGTCTAGGAATAAGGCTGCTCATCTGAGGTCCCAGGATGGCTTCAAGTTCTCATGAAATTGAAAGCAAACCTGGAAGTACATATGCTTATGTACATTTTTCTGGGGAGAGGAGACCAGGGATTCTCCACCTCCAAAATGGCTAAGAACCACTGGTTGGACAATGTCTAGTATATGGAATTAACTCAGTATACATCTCCTGCATCAACATGTTATGGAATGGGGAGAGGAAGGACACTCTCTGCTCAAGAGGAGAGCATGTGTAAAGGCCTGGGGTGAGGAAGGGAGCAGTTAAATAAAAGGTCTGTGTGGTAAACCAGGAGAAGCTCAGTTTGCTCAGAGATGAAGAAACAGTCTAGGGAAAAACAAGGTTGAAGAAGTAAGTTAGCACAAGATTTGAAAAGCCTTGACTGTCCCTGAACCACTTGTATTTTATTCTGATGCAATGAGGAGCTGAGGAGGATTTTTGGCCAGGCAATGACATAGTCAGATAAAATTTAGGTAAATTTTCTTGCTATGTGTAAGGCTGATAAAATGAGGAGGCAGGAAGACCATTTGTTTAGTGGATTATTGGTTACCCTATGAGGTTATTTAATAGAACCTAGTGGGCTTGAGTAGAGTCCACATTGAGATCTGTCATGGAGGTGCCCAGATCTTCCTGAAACACCATCTCTTCCTGAAGCTGTTCTGAGTGCAGATTGACTCTAAATTAGCTCCTCTTCTGCAGCCAGAGCATTATAAGCCATAAATGAGAGAAACAAGGTCCCATTACCAAACCCTGAAACTTGGACCTTCTGTCCAATAAAACTGCTAAGGTCAATCCAGCAATGAATACAGAGTTCTGCAAATTGGAGGTACTCAGTAAACATGTGGCCTGGATACTAACACAGTCTTGCCCTCTCATGGTGGAAATTCCCCATAATCTGTGGGAAACAAAGATGATAATGTAGGAAGTCAGGAGGACACCTCAGGCCTCCTTGAGAGCTGACAACCCACTTTGTACCTGAGCTCTCTCCTAACAGCCCTTTCTTGTTCCAATGTCTGAGATTCTTCTCCTCAGCTGTACTGAAGCCCTTTGAACCCACTTTCTAACTCAATCAACAATCATCTTTTTAAGCACCTACTGTGTGTTAGGCATTACGCAACCTTACTTTACATTTTGTGAGCTGTCTCCTCACCTAGCTTGAACACTCTTCCTTCTATCTTGGAGGTTTGTTTTTTTTTAATAATTTTATTTATTTATTTCCTCCCCCAAAGCCCCAGTAGATAGTTGTATGTCATAGCTGCACATCCTTCTAGTTGCTGTATGTGGGACGTGGCCTCAGCATGGCTGGAGAGGTGCGTCGGTGCACGCCCGGGATCTGAACCTGGGCTGCCAGCAGCGGAACGCGCGCACTTAACCGCTAAGCCACGGGGCCGGCCCTATCTTGGAGGTTCTTAACAATGGATGCTTCTCAAACTCAGCCACAGAGCTTTAAACACTCTTGTGCCAGAACTCAATTTCAGAGATTCAGAGTCAGAGCCCTGGAAATTTCAGGGCATTTAGAAGAAGCTTGTC